AGCTATGGTCCTGCTGGTAGCTGGTAGTCGACTGTATGTATCAATGTATCTTTCTGTCTTGATTGGATTTACAGCGTAAGTTCACTCTTGGTCTAGCAGACATTAGTATTTCCTGCAAAGCACTTCCAGAGACCTATTGGGCTTTTAGTTTTGGATGTGAAATATAACAACGAGATACCACGAAACATGTTTTTCAGGCTTTTTAGAAGCACATCACAAAACAGGCCCATTATTTTGAATTAAACCACTACCACCCATATGTATGAGACCGCTGCAATATTTCTGTCACGACTGAAGTATAGACCATATAAAAGCAAATGGGAATATCTTCTTCACATCTGTATTTTAAACCAAAATAATAAAAAACAAAATCCCAATGTGCCCATTATCTCCCAGAACCTATAGAAGTATGCCATACATACATTATTGTATTTGTAAATGATTTGTTCATATTTTATCTCCAGGTCATTTTAAGCTAGGACCATTCATCCTCACAGATACTATGAGATAAAAAGGTACAGTTCATTCAAGCATTGAGAGGTTGGGTTGTGCCTGCTTGTTTGCATTAACCATGAGCATCTCAACTCACCTGACTATACTATGTGTTCCTTCTGTTCATTTTAATGGAGCTTTATTACCACCATTTATTATTACATCACAGCGATGGACTTCAGTAGTCAAAACATGTAAATACGTTAATAAGGCCTGACTTTGTGTACTCCTGAGTTTAATTAATTGTATAATATTGTGACCAAAACTATACCACTTAATCAGAATCATTCCTGGATTAAGTAAATGTTGACATTCATTAACATTTCCCCTAATATAGTGCAAGCACACACAATAATACATTATAAACATACATCCATCCATCCATCCTCTGAAACTGTTTGTCCTATTCAGGGTCATGGGAGGACTGGAGCCAATCCCAGAGGCTATGGGCACAAGGGAGGGAACAACCCAGGACGGGGCACCATCTCTGCATTATAAACACCTCTACATTATTATTGTGTGCATACAGAAATAAAGTGAGCAGTCAGCATTGTTGTACTGAAAGGTGCATATGAAAGGACAGATTATTTTTCAAAAGACCAGATTTCTTTTACAGTTTTTTCCTCATTTGCTTTGTCACATTTCATGAAACATACTTAACATTCTCACAACTATAAAAGCATTTCTCAAAACAGTTCATTCATATAGCACAACACTAAGGTTTAGCTGCAGAAGCCTGTAAAACAATTAACTCATATCTCAAAAGCAAATAATTCCACCACTGAATTAGTCAGTGCCACCAAAATGAAAAGTACAACCAGCATCGTTTAAACAGTGTCAAAATGCTTAGATATACTGCCAGTTCCCACTTTCTAATGATGTCACTGATTGATTATAATTTTCTTTAGCAAACTGATAGCAAACAATGTCAAAGACACCAGTTTCAACATTGCAAGGCTCTACATTACAGTATGTGAAGTTCACTGCCAAGCGAAAGCACTGGCATGCACATGTAACTTATTCAGATCTCAAGACACAGTACAATAGCAAACAAAAAAGTCACACAGCACTGTATAACACAAACAGCAAAATGGCAGTACAAGAACAACAAAAGGAAAACAAAATGATGACAACTGTACAAACCCCTTCGCATACACTCACCTAAAGGATTATTAGGAACATCATACTAATACGGTGTTTGACCCCCTTACACCTTCAGAACTGCCTTAATTCTACGTGGCATTGATTCAACAAGGTGCTGAAAGCATTCTTTAGAAATGTTGGCCCATATTGATAGGATAGCATCTTGCAGTTCATGGAGATTTCTGGGATGCACATCCAGGGCACGAAGCTCCCGTCCCACCACATCCCAAAGATGCTCTATTGGGTTGAGATCTGGTGACTGTGGGGGCCATTTTAGTACAGTGAACTCATTGTCATGTTCAAGAAACCAATTTGAAATGATTCGAGCTTTGTGACATGGCTACTTCCAGCAGGATAATGCACCATCAGAGGATGGGTACATGGTGGTCATAAAGGGATGGACATGGTCAGAAACAATGCTCAGGTAGGCCGTGGCATTTAAACGACGCCCAATTGGCACTAAGGGGCCTAAAGTGTGCCAAGAAAACATCCCCCACACCATTACACCACCACCACCAGCCTGCACAGTGGTAACAAGGCATGATGGATCCATGTTCTCATTCTATTTACGCCAAATTCTGACTGATTTGAATGTCTCAACAGAAATCGAGACTCATCAGACCAGGCAACATTTTTCCAGTCTTCAACTGTCCAATTTTGGTGAGCTCGTGCAAATTGTAGCCTCTTTTTCCTATTTGTAGTGGAGATGAGTGGTACCCGGTGGGGTCTTCTGCTGTTGTAGCCCATCCGCCTCAAGGTTGTGCGTGTTGTGGCTTCACAAATGCTTTGCTGCATACCTCGGTTGTAACGAGTGGTTATTTCAGTCAAAGTTGCTCTTCTATCAGCGTGAATCAGTCGGCCCATTCTCCTCTGACCTCTAGCATCAACAAGGCATTTTCGCCCACAGGACTGCCGCATACTGGATGTTTTTCCCTTTGCACACCATTCTTTGTAAACCCTAGAAATGGTTGTGCGTGAAAATCCCAGTAACTGAGCAGATTGTGAAATACTCAGACCGGCCCGTCTGGCACCAACAACCATGCCACACTCAAAATTGCTTAAATCACCTTTCTTTCCCATTCTGACATTCAGTTTGGAGTTCAGGAGATTGTCTTGACCAGGACCACACCCCTAAATGCATTGAAGCAACTGCCATGTGATTGATTGATTAGATAATTGCATTAATGAGAAATTGAACAGGTGTTCCTAATAATCCTTTAGGTGAGTGTATGTCTGCTAAAACATTTGGAAATTTCTGTGAAGCCATAAGAAATGATGTTCTACTGTGCAAAAGTAGCATTATGGTGTGGGGATTACACTTGCTGTTTTGCAAGTGTAAATTGTCATTTGAGGAATGGTCCGAAACAATCGAGAAAAACTGTACACGGGTGAAAACGTTCAAGCGGTAATTTATGACACAAACAATTAGAGATCCTGAAGTGACACCTAGTGGTAAAGTGGTGAATTAAAATGTAAGAAAGCAGTGACTCACCTCCACTGTAATGGTAATTAAATCTGTCCTTATTGTGCCGGTGGTGTGCTGCATAACTATCTACACATACAGTGGACGATTACTAATGAAACATAATTAGCACTTATATTCTAACTCTGGAGTAGCAATCCCTGTCACAAACAGTTATCGTGCCGGTGGTAAACTATAAAGCTTTCAGTCATGAGTAGTTTAGCCTTCCTTGTCATTTTCACACCATTAGGTTGCATCATAATGGCAAAACAGCCTTGATAGTTTCAAATATTATTGATCTATTTTCCATAACCGCAAAATCAATGCTGCATCCTGGATCCACTCCCAGGAAACTGAGGGTATAAAGCATGACATACATACACTAATGGCAATTTAGAGGCAACAGTCCAATTAAAATGCATATATTTGGATAGTGGGCGGAAACCAGGCCCTCATTTCTATAGATATACAAGATGCAAACTCCACAACCCTGGGTACAGCTACTCAGCTAACCATCTAAAGCTGAATATTAGCTGTCCAGTGTAGGGTTACAGCATAGGGCACAAGGCAAATTCCTCATCACCCCACACACACACACTCAGCATGCAGTACTGAAACTCACTGAGCCACCAGGAATATTAACTAATATCCCATCACAGCTGATGAACCTTATCGGCTCATATGTTGACATGCAGTAGCATCTCATGGTCTAATTGCAAAACATTGCTTATGGGGCACCCTACCTTTACAGATTAGAAGATTTGGCAGATTCATTTGTCCACAACTAGGGAATTATACAGTACCAGAACAGAGAGACTTTCTAGCCCAAAGTGAAGGCAGGAGCTTTTTCAATACACTTCCCATCAGCAACAGAGAGACAGCATGCTTAAAGCCAGCACTGCAAGTCTTACCAACAGTTAGATATCCAGTCAAGTGGGGTGAAAGTTTATTAATCATTTAATAGTCTTATTTATCCAACATTTTTACATTTGAACTTTATCACTAGGTCTGCGGTATTAAGAACCTTCCAGAAGCCATTATACTTTAGATGCGACTGGTTACTAGTCACCCCCGTCTATGAGGTAGGTCTCCTCTGACACATAGGCATATTCCATTTGCCCCTGTTGCAATTATTTCTGCGGATGCAGATCATTAGTAAACTGTCAGAGACACTGGTTCGAAGAACATCTGGTCTGACTGGAATTGTCACAGCAGACCAAACTCAGTCTTCGAACATGTAGGGTGCTCCAGTTTTAAACGGCAAAGGGAAAAAAAAAAAATCAAAGTTGAAGTTTCTATAGTATAGGATATGTAGGCATGCAAATATGAACATCTCAAAATATGACTAGCCAAGGCATCTGATTTAATAGCAGTTCAGCCATTACTCCAGTTCCATTTCAATATAGTGTTTTGATTTATACTGGAAACTAATATAGACTTGTGTATGTACCAAATAAAAATATAAAGATGCACTTTAGTAACAAAAATGATTTGGGTTGTGGTCACGATAGATTCTGCACGCACCGATGACCAAAAACGATTTTACAAAACATTTTCCAAAATCTACCCTATACATCAGCATTCACACCTGGGAAAGTCCTTTAAAATATAAAAAAATTCCAAATGAAACTAATGAACACTGGCAGTGTTATAGTAGTACCACAGTAATTGACTACACATCCATGCTTCAAAAACTTTAAAGACATTTAGACCATCTCCACCTAGTACAATATAATTGAATAAATTAGAAAATTAGGTTAGTGCCAGAAACTGCAACTCTACTGCAAGATTACAGATGCGACTGAATATGTGTGTCTTTCATTCAAGAGAGGACAATTAAAATAATGAACATGGAAACTGAAAATAATGTAATCACACTAAAAAATGCACAGGAGTTCCTGCATTTAACAAAGTCTGAACATTTATTTGAAGTAATAGAAACACTTTCAAATTGCTTGGATGAAAACATTTTATAAAGTTCCTTACAATGAGAATGTAAAAAATGTTTTTTGTTTTTTTTTCTCAGTACCATTTAAGCAGGTAAATAAGGACAACACTGTGGGCAATGAAATGCATTTAGCAAAGTCTGAGATGAATACAGTGTTATTAATTAATACAATAATAAATACCCAGAAATGCATTTCTCCAGAACAAGCCATATATTTTTACAAGAAAAATAGACTATTTACAAAACTCAGTGCCCTGTTTTGGCACTGAATCAAAACCACATAAAAAAACACACACACACACACACACACACACACACACACACACACACATAAAGGCAGAAGTAAATGTTAACATGGTGGTTAATTTCATGTTCTTCTAAGAATGTTTGTGGACGCCGTGGAATGTAACTGAACAGTACAGCTGGAGAAGTGCAAACCATAAGGTGGCGCTATGCCACCAAGCCACTATCACTAGTCAGAAATGAACTATACTTCAGCTAGTTAAGGGGGGCCTCATTATGTTATTGTGTTAGTGAAAATGATACAATTTTTTCACCCCCGAAATAAGGGGGGGAAAAACACATTAATAGAACGTGCATAAAACATATACATCTCAGAAATCACTCACTGGCACAGTCTATTATTTGGTTCTTACTTGTCACCAGTCAAAATATCTTGAATTTGGGGCTCAGTTCTATTTGATTTAGTGTAATTTTATGGAGAATCCGCCCCCCCCCCATATCTCCATTCCATTTGACAAAAGAATAATTACAAATATTTCTTTAAGCAATGGCTATTTTGATGATATTTTATAATTAATATATTAGAAATGTTTCAAATTTCCACGATTTATATAATAATTTTTAGTCATAAAATAATTTCTGTAATACAGATTAGAATTCTCTTTTTAAATGTACACAATTTTGTTACAAAAATTAGGATTACCTATTTATGTGTCTAATTTGACAGGCCCTTAGTTTTGAGTTGACAAATAGAGGACAGTTCCCAGTGCAGCAGCTAGCTGAGCCATATCAAGACTGTGGACTAAAGTCATCTCTCACCATAACAGGCACATTAAGTCAACTCTTATTATGAGAGCACATTTTAAGATTAAATAAATTAGAACAGAAGTGACAAATGATAAATAATCTAATTTCTTAAAATTATATTTTATCAGAGCCTACTTTTATTACTCATGTCTTTATCTACAGCGTCCAAAACTCCATGACATCACCCCTCACACACACTGCCCACCCCCCAAACCCTCCACCTCAACCCCAAGGACAATAAATGCTGAGGGCCAGGTAAGCAATCCGTACACTCCGATTTCTGGAGGCTTCCCAATATCGCAAATGCATTTCCAAATCTCTGACCACAGCGCTACTGGAATTTATTTTTCATTGAAAAATAAATTAAAAATACAAAATAAATTACATCTCCTCCAATACTCCTGAGACTTTACAGTTGTACTAGTCTTCCCTAAATGCCCACATGATTCACAACTCAGATTTGTAGGTCATAAATAATACGCTCTGTGTTCTATGTTGCGTAAACTATTAATTTCATTGACCCCAAAGAATAAGGCTGTTGGCCAAAGACAACATTTCGGCCCAATATCAGTTCAATTGTCAAAATTCTTGTGGGTAAAGTGCTAACTGAGTTAACTGAACTCATGCTTTAGACCAGTATTCCAGTCCATCAGAGCTGTGGAGAGCATTTTTTTCAGTTGAATTTACACTAGCTACTGCTTTGGCACATGTGACCCATAGATCAGTTTATCTTGATATTTAAAGAAATAATGCATTTTGTTCCAACATGCTTAACTCTCCACTGCTCAAGAGTACTGGAGTTTACAGACTCTGTACCAGGGCTGTGCATGGGTCCCAAATCGAGAACGTCAAAAGTGACTACTAAGATCTTCATGCCACTGCTGTGATTTTGCAGGCCAGAGATCCATTAGGTGCATCACATTTCGCGACCCATCCATAGCCACAAAGTGGCAGTTGCTTTTTAGGCCAAATGCTGCCAGAAGAAGCAGGCAAGGTCATTATCCCATAACCTACCCTTCCAATAACTTATGATCCCTGACTGAAGTTTTAATCACAAACTGATTAATGATAACGATATCCCTTTCACTGAAATATGAGTGGCAAAACAAGAGTTGGTTCACAGCAATCTTTAGACTGCTATAACCCAAATAAGTTTTATAAGTGTAAATGTGCATTCTTCGGGCAATTTTGCCAAATGCCAAAGCATTTCTGTTAAACCTTTAGTGATTCCGATACGGAGGACTTCATAGCTTCTTCCAACAACTGGTTGTCCGTAAAAGCCGTAGAGGGCTCTGGGATGGATTCAGACAGGCCTATCAGGGACTCCAGGAGGCAGGTGCCAGAGTCATTAACCTGGGGCAGGTTGGGGTAGTTGGGAAACTGAAACTGAAAATTGTCATCCAGATTCTCGTAGTCTTTCAGCGAGCCGTACATGGGGCTGTGCCGGAAGCTGGGAAAGCCTTCAAAGAACTCTAGGTCAGAACCTGAAGAGAGGCTAAGGTCCATTAAGCCGTTGGTGTGATCCAAGGATGGGAGAAGGGTACCAGGCACGGGGCCGGTCGATGGAGGCACACCGCCCTGGTTGGCGTTTTCATCCAGCATTTCGGAGATTGTCAGGACCCGATTGTCTGCACAGTCACTTGGTACGGCAGGTCTCATGCCATTTCCACTGAAGGATTCTGCGGCAACAAAACCTCCCGGTCCCTTAGGTGGCCGTCGTTGCTGCCACTGGCCGCTCTGCTGGTGTCCGTCGTTGCTAACGGGACAGTCCTCGTTGTCGGAGTCGCCGAAGCTGAGGATGCGCGCCAGTCCATCGTCATCCACATCTAGCGGTGGACGGGCTGGTCTTGGCGGCCCCCCCGTCTCCAAATCCTCGCTATGGCTCAGAGAGCTGGAAGAGGAGTCTGTCATGTCGCTGCTACAGCTGTTGTCTCCTGCTGCCGCTAGTTCGGGGCTGAAGTGGAATGAGGGGCTGACGGGGGGAGCATCATTGTCCTCTTCAACGGAGGACAAGCCCAGGGTGTCCACCTCACTGCTCTCCTCCTCCAGACGCTTCTCCAGCTCCAGCTTCATGATAGTGTGGATATAATGAGTCTGGACCCGGCCTGAATTAAACTCGATGCGGCCTTCGGTATTCCCACAGCCATCCTTGGTGCAGCCACAGGGGAAAGAGGAGTGGTCCATCTACAGGGCGGTAAAAACACACATGAAGAGGAACGTGCACAAGAACTTCCTGCAGGAGATCATCTAAAGATCATCTTGACTAATGCAGTCCAGAGATCATCACAGCCAATTAAATCCTGAGCTCAACTTTGGTATCGCAACTCAATTTTGTATAATCCGAGGACCCTAATCCTGGTTAGTCAACAGGTTTTCCTAGCTCTCTATACAGAATGAATAGCCATGGTTCTGAGAGGGAAAAGCTGTGGAGATCAAGCAACAAAGAAGAAACTGTGATCATGGGAGAAAGAGAGCTTTGGAAGCCATGGTGGCATTATGTTGCACTGTCAATCACCCAAATTGAGCTAACGAAGTAACCTTTCACCGGTGACTGACAGCACACAGCCAGTACCCATTGCGGCTTTTGAACAAGGATCCAGAGTTTACAAAGTGCTGATAATATTTAAAGCTAAAGTTAATGCATAACAGCATTAGCTTTAATGGTAAAGTCATAATACGTTAAATAAAATTAATTACTTGACATCCCCATTAACAAATCTTTGCCTATATTATTCTCAAAATTAATTTAATCAATGTGTTGACTTCGACTGCCCTGATATAACACTTGTAAGTGTTGAGTTTCCTTAAGGATTATGATGCGCAAGGTGGTCAGTTGAAGAAATACCTGGCACTTGATGCCTGCCAGGCTGCAGGTGCAGGTCTCGGGCTCACAGAAACCCTGGCAGTCGCAGCCACAGTCCTCCCGCGAGAGCCGGATGGCGTGAAGCTGTCGCTTCTCCTCACGGTCGATCTTCTTCACTCCGGCAGCCTTCAGCAGAGCGTGCCTCCTCTTGGATGGGTATGGCTGGAGGGACGAGCCATCCCCCAGGTCGACACCGCCGAGGTCGAGGTCCTCGTCCGAGATGTCATCCACTGTGAGCTTGCTGGCCTCTTCTGAATCCTGGGTGCCATTCTTTGTTAGCTGTGTGGTAGGCATGCAGAGACGCATTCAGTAGTGTTCGAGAAGGATTCATTTTTAACATTTGAACTTTTTTCCAGAAAAAAGATGGAACTGAGCAAGGAAGCAAGGATTTTATCCAAGAAGGTTGCATGAAATAAAGAATAAATAAAAAGCAACATTTTGTGGATGCAGAACAATTCTCAGACCTTGTGAAAGCCACTACTGACCGCACCTTTTAATTTCCCTTTTAATTGGAAATTCTGCATTTTCTTTTAAATTCCTAACCACTATTTGAAACAACAACAATAATAAATAATAATACTCTGCCATTTGCACAGATACTAGTACAAGTACAGATACTAAAGTTGCATCGATCTGATGTTCGAATCAGTATTGGCATAGATCCATGCCTCTTAGACGGAATGGATATCAACCATATGTAACCCATCCACGTCTGATAATTACTTAGTTTTCAGCAGTCTTGATTTGTCAACTTGTACAATAGCACAACAGCTCTTTCCCATTTTAGATACATTTTTAGCGGCATTCAAGCTGAACGCTAACACTGCCTCTCAGTTGTTTTACCACTTAGTGAGTGTGAGCGGTCACGTCAGTCTGCTGTGACATTATGCACATACCCTTTGCAGTAGGAGGATGAGCATGTATGTAAGAATATCAGAGGTGAGGGTGACGGTCTGGGAGTATTTTACTTTTTATTTGAAAAAACGACTAGCAGCAGTCTTTGAAAAAATAAAGTTTTGAGAGGTGGAAGTAGCGTTTAGTGGAAAATCGCATTAAACAAAGTGCAAACAATTGTGTGAGACAACGAAAGTAATATGAAAAAAGCAATAGATGATTTGGGAGTCACTAGTTTGGGCTGTTCTGCGCACTGGCTACAGTTTGTGATACACAGGGGGCTGCCAGCACAACTAAGTGCAAGTGACACTGTTGCTAGTGGGAGATAAATTGTGGGGCATTTAAAGCATTTGCTAATTGTGTATCCTCACTTGGCAGATATACAACTGTGGATGCCTCAAAAACGCTTAAAACAAGAGGTGGAACAGTACATTATGTATATTACCTGTAGCCTAATTAACTGGAACTGCGGGTCAAGGGCTTACGGGAATATGACTATTCTGCCGAGGCCAGGGTTCAAACCGATCATCTGATCACAGGAGCAGAGACTTGCCCCACTGAGCAACTCACTACCCCAGCCACTGTTATTATTTGTATCTGTGGAATCAACCAAGTGGGAACCAATAAAGCCACTAATCAGAGGCGCATTAAAAACTTGTTTATTCAGCGTGCACAAGTGTTGGTTTCAAAATCTCATTCCTACCAGCACAGCTAAAGACTTAAGGGATACATAACTCCAGTCCACGCAGTATCTTTATTTTTCTGCTTCTCTAAGACACTTTACTACAGTCAATGCAATACTGCAAAATTCAACTCACTTTTATAGACACGGACCATCAAGAATCAGAGCCACTTGTAACTTGTTTTGGCAAGTGACTGCCTCTTCAGAGGCACACGACAGTAACTACGACAGAACCTGGCCCGTGACCGAAAGTCACTGGACGGAACCCTGCTCTCATCATCTTGACTGAGGCTTAAAACCTTCAGGTTTAAATCAACAGACAAGAAGAGGAGCGTTTCCCAATCTGGTCCTCAGGGAGCCACAGACAGTCCACCAGGAGCTGGGAGGGAGCAAAAATGTGGACCGGCTGTAGGTCCCCAAGGACTCCCTGAAGTAGAGGACGAAGTCTTCCAAGCCTGGTTTGTTCAAAGCCTTCTAGACAGCTAAAAGGAAGGGAAGATGGTAAGAGGACAGTATGATTTACCTTCTGCCTCAGGCCCTCGAGCTTCTCCTCCTTCAACCTGTCCTTTATCTTCTCCCAGCGAAGGTGTCTCTGCTCCAGGGCGAACTCGGCGAGGGTGTACCTGTGACAGGCACTGTGCTCGCGTGCCATACCCAAGGTACATCCCCCGCGGCTGGGCACGCTGCTGAAGCCCTGGCAGCGCGGAAAGTAGTAGACGATCACCTGGTGGAACTGCACGGCGCCCTTCCGCGGCCGCTTGGCCTTCTTCAGGATGGACGTGGCTGCAGAGGGTTGAGAAGCAGGCCGTCAGTGCCCAACCCAACAGAAATAAAGTCAAGGTATTTGGATTACCTCTTTCTGCATGGTCACCATGACAACTTACATTTATTGTATTTTGTTTGAAGTACATCACATAGATACAGCCACTGCGGAGTGAACTAGACATAAGTGCGGATAGGCTGGGCTTCCAAAGAATTGCCAGACAAGTGTAAACAGCAGAGGAGCAAGAGCTGCACAACACTTTCCAGCAAAGCAAGAACCTAATGGTGAGAAGTACAACATCCAGAGCCTTTAGGGCACATGGAGAACACACGGGACAGGATGAGTCTTCAGGCATCCCCCCCCCCTCCCCCAAACTTTGTTTATTTGAGTTTAAACAATTGTACAATGCTGGGGTCTTGAGGTTTTCCTTGAAGGTGAGGAGGGAATACATCTTCCTGAAAAATGTTCCACTGATGACCAAACCTCAAAACATCAAATCCAGCAATTTGATAGGCCAAACAGAAACCCCGGTTATTAAGGCTGCAGCTACACAGCTGCTACCACTGCAGATCCATACGCAACCACTAGATGGGGTGTAATGCACGGGCAACCATGTAGCTCATCTCGATTCACATGCAAATGATGCAAATTTTCAAACCGCAGCGTAACCATATCTTCCAAACAATCATGGTTTAGAATAACTAGCAAATGAAATTCATAACTATTTGTCACTTAAGACAATCAAATTAAATCTGCAAATTTCTACTGCTATTACAGATAAATCCTGACGTGGCTTAATAAAAACAATGAATTTAACTAACTGAAGCTCTTTGTTATCCTGAGATCAAAAAATGACCTCCTCCAAAATGACCTCCTCCAAAATGACTACCAACACTGAATATCAGGAAAGGAAATTCAATAACTACCAAACAAATCCCATAAATTTACTGTAAGGCTGATATCACCCATCACCGTCCATGCAGGACACGATGACCCATTTTCTGATCCCATTACAGACATGTATCCTGCAGTCTCAGTCCAAGGTCTCAGATATCACCATTCAATCTAACCCCCCAACTTTTTTGGAACACTGTTCCTGTTTACCAGAGGGGCAGTGTGTGGCTCAGTAGCTCAGAACATTGCGATCAGAAGGTTGCCGGTTCAAATCCCAGGGTTGGAAGAGTGATGTCACTGTTGAGCCCTTGAGTGAGGCCCTTAACCCCTAATTGCTCTAGCTGTCTGACTGCTAAATAAATAAAAAGTAAATGCCATTAACAAGCTTAATCCTTTTGCCCTACAGTGGAAGCAAAGTAATTAAACTAAATCATACTAAAACTGCTTCTCTTAATAATAATAAAACAACAACAACAACCAAGGAAACTCCCTTTGTCCACCTTTGAGAATCTCTAGCAATCGACTCTCCAGGACATCAATCCTTATGATTCTGGCTAAAGCTGGCCCCTCCATGGTAATTCAAAAGACCGTCCAAAATTACACTGCACCAGAGACCCTCAGCAGGTGAACCTCCTCCCCCTGGTTACAGCAGTTGGGATGAGTTGTGCAGATCGCCTCTCCCCCCTTCGTCCCACGGGCCGCAGCTTGGCAGCAATCCCAACGCTGCTGATCAACCCACCGATTCCTGGAGGATGGAGTCTGGAGTGCGATCGCTTTCCAAGATGCCAGAAAAAACTTCAGGGAATGTCAGTTTACTATGAGAAAATGTTGCTGTTAATTAAGCTCTGACATCCTATCTAGTGTATTCAAATGGCCCATGCTCTAATGACCTGAAGCGGTTTATGCTACGTGAAATTCACATGTTGCATCTTGGGGGGAAAAAAAAAAAAAAAAACACAACCTGTTAGCCTGACCAGCAGTATAGGGGAGGCTCTAACCCACCTCCAGGGGTGTAGCTAGAAATTCTGGGCTCCCTGGCAGAGTGACATTTTGTTCGCTCTAAATTTCAAATATTACGTATTACAGGATCCCTGTAAGATTCTGGGCCCTGAATCTGCTAGAGCATCCATGCCCCTTTCACAGCCCATATTGCATGTTATTGCAGGTGATCCTCAATAAGTTCTGTTGCATTCTTCATGCTCTGATGGTTCTTCATGCTCTGTCACCATGATGGACTGAAAATGACCACTCTCCTCATCTTACCTTTGCAGTGTTTCTATTAATCCATAAATTCCCCCCGAGTGTCCTCGAGTGTCCTTCCCTTCCTTGACACCTCCTTCCACATGCAGACACACACACACACACCTTGCCTCTATAGCCCTTCCAGTGCCTGCTAGTCCACCCGTCACCCTCTGCAGCACCTGTGCTGGGCACTCGCCCAGCTGGCTGCCCACGAGCCATTTGCTATTCCAGCTGGCACTCGGCCTGGGCTTGCCCACTGGCTGCCTGCCCTCCCCTCCTGGGAACTCCATAGCAGTTGCTCTTCCCTTCACCTCACCAGCAGAGGGCAGAATGGACCACTACAGCAGATACATTTTATAACCACACAGATTCTTTCTTTCTGCCGACAAGGCAATCACTGGTACTTTTTAGTACGCAATACTTTGGGGAGTGTGACTGAGCCCTATGATGCACTGGCATCTATTCCATGGTGTCCCCTGTGCTTCTTAGGACAGGCTCCAGGGTCATCTGACCAGGGGCGTATACAGGGGAGGGGCCACGGAGGCACTGGCCCCAGCTGAAAGCTCATTGGTCTCCGGAGTGCCCCCCCCCTCCATGACTCATCAATTCAAAACACATTACAAACTAATGATAAGGTTGGCCCCCTGTATGAATTATGACCCAGCTTATGCCCCCCACCTTAAAAAATCCAAAGGTTGTCCCTGCATCTAACCCTGTATTGGATAAGCAGTGGAAGATTGGTGGCAATACTTAACATTTAAGGCAGAGTGGCTTCACAATGTGTCGCACTGCTACAACTACTTTGATTTTCTCGTTCTCCTCGTCCCACAGTTCTGTATTATTTTCTGGACATTATCTTGGATATTTTCTTGGTCACCTACGAGAAAAGGCCGTCTCGTTTGGCAGTGCCGATACTCACTAGGAACGAGAGCCTCTGGGGAGCTGGGAGCACTAGGCCTCGAATCCAGGGTGTCAGAGTGGAAGCTCCCCCCATCGGAGTCCCACTCTGAGCAGGCTGGGGAGGAGAGTGACGAGGGCGAGGATGACGAGTAGCAGCGGTCCTCATCGACTTCGCTGAATTTTCTCTTCAAAGGGCCACTCATGGCGTTACTGGGAAATCTGTTAATAAGAAGGATGGAAAAGTTTTTTTTATAAAAAGAGGAACCCTGGGAAAAGCTAGCCTTTTGGCTAACTGGCATATTTACAGCAATGTAATCAGTACGCATTGTCCCTAACAAATAAGCCAATAAACAAGCACAAACTACTTCAGTGAAGACACTAACAATATGTGCTGTAATAGAAGACAACAGTCAAATATATATCAATAAAACAGATATATTACACAAACAAAGACCAAACCTATGAGCAAACTTCCAAAATCACTCAAGTCAATATTTTCGACTGCCAATGGCATAAACCAGGCTCTCTCATCAGATCATCATACGTTCAAGTATTGGGAACCAAAATTCACTCAGTCCACGTGTAATCTGACAAAGTTGTTGTTACATTCCCAAAACTCACTGAATCCATACAAATGGGATTTACTTGCAAACTTACCCCATGGACCGAGTGAGCTTTTGCTCTTCAGTTGTCATATACTAACTGCAAAGAATGTTGACTTTTCTGAATCTATACACAACACACAGTCTTGTTAAACAAAACTGACCTTTTACATTCATATAGTTAGAATCTTTTTTTTAGCCACCAAAGTACTTCTACATATGAGGAATTACTTAGGGGTGTTGTGCAAAACAATCAAGGACAATCAACACAGATCAACATAAGTTATATATATAAATTATATGCATAATCAGTATAAATGTGTGCTGTGAATCCTGTTGAGTCAGTCATTCATTATCTGATGAAATGTTTCCCAGTGGCTCCTTCCCGAACTTCCTTCTGACGCAGACGCGACAGCGCGGGGCTCCGTGCCTGACGTGAGCTCACTGAGAACACTCGGTTCCAGTGCACGTTGCCCTAATGAGTAAACACATCGCAGCCGTTATGTAACAGCTGAGCCCCGCCACGCTCACACGTGAAGGGAAGCTGCTGGCCTGGCGTAAACATTCTTTCAACACACCCTGCCCACCGACCCTGCCTACCGACCCTTGCCCAGCCCCACACCCAAACACACCATTATAATGTGTGCATGCAAACTACCCAGCAGTCAGATGAATTCTATATTTAACGGAACACTATTACCTCTAAAACAGTTACAATGTAACACTTGCACCTTACACATGCACAACACACTTTATTTGAGCAATGCTGCATTTTTCCCCCACTCTAGTTTTTCTCTTGCTGTTCCTAATTTATTATACAATTATATCATCTTTTTTCCCTTTATTTTCTTATTGTCATTTCCATTTGCATGTGAAAAAACATATCTAAACTTTGCATGTGACAAAAATCCTTCATTGGGTTCTACATCCTTTTTTCACTAGCTAGAGGTTGTATTTCTCTGGCAGGGAAATGACACTTATTTTTAACTAACAAACAACAGCAGAAATAATAATAACCTGTGAAATGAGTGCATGTCTGATAAATGACACCAGGTTGCAAAAGGAGCCCCTCCCCCATCGCCCGGTCCCCCCCAGGGAGCCACACAGGCAGCCCGTCTTCTTCCCACTGACCTTTGATATAATCCATCCGCTCCTGGCTGGCACTGGCTCTTTCACACGCCACACGTGTGTCGATGTGCCGCAGATGCGGACTTTACTGCTCCCGCCGACACATGGACCGGTTTACACAGTCTGGGGGGCGGGGGGGGCACTGGCTTTACATTTGCTCAGATTTCCTCAAGCAAACACCACCCCCAGGGAAAAAGAAAGGCGTAGTAGCCACGGACACTCCTAGCCCCCCCCCCCCATTCCGCCAGCTCTCCGAGAAGCGACAGAGCGTGCCCCCCCCCCCGGAGCTCCCAGGTGGCGTACTCGCCGCTGGCCGCGTTTCGCTGACCCCGTCACTCAGATAAGACGCCAAGGCTTATTTGCATAGAACAGCGAGAACTGAGGGTGCCGGACTTTCAGCAAAGCACTGGAAATTCTCTCATTTCATGCATGCAATAAGATGCAACTAAAAACCCTTTAAATTTCAAGATAATTCATATCCAACCTCCAGCACCAAATTTCAGCAAATTACCGTAAACATTTGTGTCCCTTAATGTTACAGATGCTAACAAATGTTCAGCACAGGTTACGTTAATGACTTTAGTGACAATATACCCAGTTCACTTAACTAGCCTTGTCAGCTTTCCCTAGGTCGAATAAGGCCAGATAATCGGAGATAAAATGTAATGATGTCATTAATAACATTATAATTAGCACACGATTAGATCGTGCACATTCACATTTTCCTTAGGGGCCTTATCGTAATTCCAGTACACATGGACATAGCGGCCATTTCCACACATACTGGAGTCATGTGACACACAGCTTCCATTCAGGTGCACATCCTTCATTTTCTTCTAGCTTGATAGAGAGGGCCATTGACGTTCAGTATCTCCCCCCCCTCACTGGAGGTGAATGGGGAGACCCAGCTAAGCAGAAATGTTATAATCAAGCCCTAGATGAGGCAGGGTCTGTGGGGGTTATCACAGTAGTAGGTCGTTATCTTTTGGCCAGGAACCACTTGACAAATTGATTTGTTAACTCAGCATGATGGGCAGAATCAATTGGGGGGGGGGGGGTAATCTGCTTGGGCCAGACCAAAACCCACATGCCTTTTGTGGTTTAGTGTACCAATTCTGGAAAGAATAAGGAAAATATGCGTTTTCGTAGGGCAATAATACAGCAGGTTGGTGTGGGTGAATGCCTCGGGCGGTGGAATTTGCCTTCTCACTCTTTGCCCATGACATGTAGAGTTTCCAGTGCAAGATAAAGCGGCCAGAGAGAAAGGTCCCCCCCCCCTCCTCAGCACCACCACCCATTCCCATCCTGTCATTTTATGAATTATGTATTCGTAGCGTTCCATCAACAGCCACACCGGGCAGATTGGGAGGCGTCTGAAGGACTGTTCAAAAATCCGTACTGACAGGGTTTAGGAAATAGACCTTAATGTGGTGAAGGGGGGGCTGAGCCCACAATGAAAGCAACAAATCAGTGACCCATCGAACAGAAACAAGCTGTAGTGTAAGATCAGGCCACTGAACAGAGACATTCAGTAATCAAATCATGAAAACCACAGGGGAAAAAGCCTAGGAAATGATATCAACGAAACATGATATACACGACTAAAATTGCAACATTTCTCCATCTACACTTTCTAATCTGAAAATAATTTTTATAATTGATATAAATGTTAAAAGAGTTCTATGTTCCATTTAACTTGTAATAAGATTTGAGGCAGTAAGAGACGGGAAACGGAACCTCTGTAACACTAGCCCTAGACTAAATCATACAAACTGACATCCTGGAGAGACGCAAACGGCCGTGAACTGCTAGGGCAAGATTTGCATGGCAGACAGAGCCATCATGGGGGGGGGGGGCAATTAAATCGCACGCGAGAGCAGCATCATATTACCATGGGAGCTACTGGGACATGCAGTTCTCCTCTTTTTTTGTCTGACAATGTGCCTCTTTTAATGGATGGGTGAGTGAAATCCATGACCCATAATTATCACATTACCTGAATAGCTCCCTTTAACCCAGAATCTGTCCCCTGTACACTGGGAACAATCAGCCAATCGGGACTCCACTCTGCTCCAAGTGCACCACAACTCAACGAGTGCCTTAAAGTCAGGTTAAAGAAAACTAGGGTCCAACCTATAACACTAAATGTTTCTCACAACCATTTAAGGATTATCAAAGAATCAGCACGCAATGTCAAACCACTTAGCTGGTGGCCTGTTACACTGAACAACGATCCTTTAGCAAGCTAACTAAAAGCCATTTATTTTAAAAACCGAAAACTTTCCTGGCTCACTTCTGCTAGGATACGGGGATTTACTTTTTTAAACTTGGCCTCAACCTGTTTTATACGGGTGGTGGTGGTGGTGGTGGTGGGGGGGGCTTATACAAATAATAAAATTACTCAGATCTATGGGAATTCCTTTCAGGCGCCCACTGTTTTTGGTCGAGCACAAATAATTTTTCACCNGGGGGGGGGGGGGCTTATACAAATAATAAAATTACTCAGATCTATGGGAATTCCTTTCAGGCGCCCACTGTTTTTGGTCGAGCACAAATAATTTTTCACCCAGATGAGTTTCAGCCCCCTTAAAAAGGCGTTCGGATTCCTCGCTCCTGCGAATCACAAACTGAAATGCAAATCGACTCCAGGCTCCTCCAGTCAGCTTCAGAATTAAAACATGATAAATGCGATTCTGTACACCGTAATACACATTTAAAAAGAAAAACAGTAACACCACAGGTAACGACTAAAGGAAAATTCAGAAAAACACTGACTGTTTAAAAAAAAAAAAAAAAAAACAGAAATCCAGGGAAATCTCAGCACATATCCCATCACATCCCAATAGCACATGGCAAAGAGCCCCAAATGCCGAACCCACCAGGGCCCGGAGGGCCGTACAGACGACTAATTAAGATGTCCGACGCCGACCGAAACCGCCGTTTGCCCCCTCGATGGCGTTTAAATGCCAGATGCTTCCCTTTTCAGCGCGATCAGTCCGCCTCCATTCAAACAGACGCCAGGCATGAAAGTAAAGCTGCAGCCGAGGCCCCCCTCCCGCTTTGTGCTATAACAAACAAGGAGACACTCTCTGGAGAGAAAGGAAGAAAGAAAGTATTTATTGTGTGGGTGTGTATGTGGAGGGGGCGGCGGCAATGGCGTAAGGGAGAGTTTGAGACTGGGGGTGGGGGCACACAACTTAATTTAAATACAACACTCTTTATGGAGAGGATGAATGAAGCCAAATTAAATATTGCCCCCCCCCCCCCTGTTCCTACGTCTCTGGTCGGGGGGAGAGACTTTTCATCAGGTGCATCACTGCTCATGTCCTCAGTCCAAGGCAATTTTTTTCAAGGTAAAACTGCCTAAAATAAATTATAATTAACCCCCCGCTAGCAAAAATGCACTGTTCTTTACGGGGTGATAAATATTGCCAATCCCTCCTACTTTGTGAAGGGGAGGGGTCAGTAAAACATGTCCCTTGGGGGGGGGGACTCCGCCATCATCATTCCTGGATGTTAAGAACTGTGCCAGGCAATTAGAAAGACAGTAAGATATAGCGCTAGTAAAACGAGACTTGGCACTTTATTTCAGGACAGCCGCTTCGCTCCGTTCCTTCTGTGAATTCCTGTACGGACTAGAGCTGCCCGACCAGGCTCCGACTGTGAACACTCCAGAAGTAGCACACTGTGGCCTGACTGGCCAATACGTGATAGTTAACCCCCCGCCCCTACAAAAAAAACCTCGAACATTATACTGTTTAATCGTCTTCACAAAGAGAGGTTCGCAGTACATCAGCACGATATCCGGTGCACATTACCCACCCCCACCACATTCTAATGGTTTCCTCAAGTCATTATATAGGATGACCAGTGCAGAGCAAAAATATAGCATTACACTCTGCGAGAAACTGTATCGCAGCTCAATCTCCGTTTGTCACTATGGAAAACCAGCTGCCAAGGGTACAGAAGTGAAACACGACACAAGTGTCACAGGTCGCGAGGTCGACATTACGCTGCTGAAATCCCCCTTAATGCCAGAAACAAAATATTTGGATAAGGGAAGAAACCCAGAGATTTCAAGGAATATGATCGCTCTGGGAAAAAGAAAATCGATTACACTCTGAGCAATCCCTTGGACACTTTAGGACACCGGTGGCAAATGCTTATCTGTGTTTGAACTTAGTACCTATTATTGTGCAGGCAGAACAAAAATGTAATCCTCACAAAAACGAAACCAAACACATACATTATTAATAAAATTGGTATTCTGGCTGTAGTATCCTAAGCCATTCCTGGAGGCCTACGTAACCATCTTTCTAGACTTTACTCAAAATACATTAAGATTAAAAATGTTAAGTTAAAATGCATAAATGCAAATATTTTTATCTTCACGTCTCACGTTTGATGTAGCTAAAGACAGTCTTACCGTTCGAAACGAAAGGTCCGTAGAAGTTCCTGTTTATAAATAAGTAAATATGTAACTTGTGCTTGATTTGTATCTTACACGTCCGAAATACAAAACGCAAACAAGCTTCGGCGATTGAAAACTAATCAGGTGTTTTTCACTAAAGACACTAAACATTGTTTTGGTTGCGTTTTGGACATTTAAGCTGTCAAAATAATAGCAGCCCCTTTCTGCAAACTCAGTGTAAACTTCTATGCAAAACTAGCGTGATATTACTATTTGTGTGGGCGACAGTCTCATCAACCGTCACTTAGATCGGTCACTTCAGAGCAAACAATTGTAAATCAATCACAAGGCGAAGAATGTGAGCGTTGTCCATTGCAAAAGTCATTTTTGTTTAGAATTCCAAACGCTTTAGGAATTTAATCATAATTACGTCCGTTACATGCATAGATGGAGATATATACCACGGCCAGGTCATGGGTAATAAAAACGGGTTGTGTTTAATCCGTGGTTTTCTGAGGAGGAAAAAAAAGCATGCAGAGGTCTCCAAAACCAAGCGGGGGCTGCACATTACAGGGAATGCGATAGTCCTCTAACAAAAATTAATCACAAGCAGCGAATGACGGGGAGCCTATGGAGACTCGGCGAAACGGTGGTCATGCCTTCCCATTGATCACGAGAGCCGCTTCCATACTCCCTTATTATCGAAACCCACTCCACACACACACACGTTTTTTCACCTTCTTAAGACGCGATCAATCGGTACTTCTACATCACCTTCAAAGGCAACATACAATTGGTGTTTACAGTGAATGGTTTTAGCGGTCGGATAATCTTAGATACAAACAATAGATATCACTTAGTCACTATGTAAAAACACCGGGCGCCACAAACGAATTCGTATCATTGTATCAAAATAGCTGCACATATCGTGATGCCGGGCGTCAGATCACGCAGTGCTCCTCCTATTGCTAGGGCAGCACGATCCCTCGACTGCTGACCTCTTCACCCCTGGTGATTAATGCTAATTACAATTACAACACTGTCCCGCTAAATGCCGACCTCAATCAGCTGTGCCGTGCTGCTCCAAGAATTGCCAGGTGTAACAAGAGCCCATAAGGAAAGCGAACAATAAATCAGTTTATTGCACACACGGGGCACATCGTAGTATTGACCATTAAAACATTACAATACCGAAACAATGTTAAACACAGAATGCTTTTTAAAACGAATCAGGGCTAACAATAACAAACGGTCAAATGTTGAATACAAACTATTGTAGAGACTGCATTTTTTCTGCTTCATTGCAATGTTGCAAATACAACATAAATCACGTTTACTGCTAGTTAACGTAATGAGACAACGAGTTACAAATGTAATAATCTAACGTCTAAATGGGTTTTAAAAAATCTAAGTGATAAAATAACCTCAAAATGCAAACGGTGTGCAATAAAATTCAATCGGTATTCGCGCTTGTCAGACTTCCAGTACATAGTAATACATATAAAAAGTTAAAACAGATCTCAGTCTTATCGACAAATCCAAACTTCCGAAAAACAATTATCCAACCCTCCAGACACAGAGCGAAGAACCGCTCCAACTACCTGGCCGATGGCCAACAGGAGTAGAGAAAAATTAACGCGTAACATTGAGGCAACTCGTATAACGCAAATTACTTACTAGGAGTTTGGGCACCCGTTCACCATTAGTGGGGAAAAGGGGCAATAGATCCGACACAAAAGTGCGTAAGAATAGGTCCACAGAATACGTCCCCCTTTGCACCGACTGCTGACTTTTGCTCCTGCTTATTGTATGAGATCTGCAGCAGCTGAAACGCTCCCTTGTCTGATCCAGCCTGCTCGGGATCGTATCCTTTTTCGTCAGTGGAAAACTCCCTTCTGGCGTCTGACGCAGGCGATGACGGAGAGAGAGAGGGAGAGAGAGAGAGTGAGAGGGAGAGAGAGAGAGAGAGAGACCTGCCCACACGGCTTCCTGCCTTGCCAAGCTCTGGTCCGGGCGCAGACGCATCCTGACAGCCGATCCCCTTCATTATCTCCCCTACCCTTGCCCGAGGGAGTATGTAAACAGTGCTTGAATACGGTTTTTAAAAGAAAGTGAAAAGAAAGTACTTGATAACCTGACAAGGGAGGCCAGAGAAACAAAAAAGGTGTATGAACGACATAGTACACCGTAACCCAGTCAAATACTAGAACATATTGTTAACTTAAAAGTTAACCAGAATCATGTGGGCCAGTGTTTGTGAGCATGTGTAAAGATGTAAAGATAGAAGTGTGCACCGCTTTGTGACAGATACAGTGCAGCATTTTAAAGTGTTAATCAGATCTGTTGTTTCTTTATAAGTCCTCAGAAATGCGGCCGGTTGCTTTTGGTCCATTTCTGTGCTGCGGCTCACTTTTGGCATTGTCACCAGGTGACACATCTCACTCACACGGCAGCCTGCGTCCAGTGAGTCATGGTTAGCTCCGGTGCCTCCTAGGTGGTAGGCGGTCCTTTTAATACCACGGGGCTATATCACGGCAGCAGGTTATGTAAGATCACCAGGAAAAGGCACTTTTTGGGGGGTGGGGGGCAGCAAGGGTTCACAGTGACCAAGAGGCATCTGACCAATGCTGTCTCTAAAATATCCGGAGGGGGACTAAGAAGTAGCAGCTAGCTTGCTGCTTGCCCAGTACTGGTGGGACATCCTTTCTCCTCCTGGGGGGCAAGTGGTAGGACAGTCCTTTTAAACACATGTGGATTCAACTCTTGTCCTTCACACCCCCCCAAAATGCATGAGTCCCTGGCAGCCAGAACAAACTTTCCGCTTTTTTCCTGATTCCAAAAGCACAAGATGGTTATAAAATCATTACCAAACATCTACCCTTTTACTGGCCTCAGGGGTTTAAATCTCTTTTTCAAACACCCCACCTCTTCCTCCTTCCCCTCCCCTAAGCCTCGCCAGGGTCACGACAGCGGGGCTTCATTAACATACTGTCTGCATTGACCTCAGGGTCAGCCAGAACAAAGTCTAAAGGTCACACAAAACAAAAAAAAAATCACAGGGCAAGACACCACATGCAGAGATATGCAGAGATGTTATTTTCAAGACGCACACGTGCAGTGAACCGGATAAAACGGAAGCCACCGATCCCGCCTTGGCTTTTAATTTATTTTTCCGTTAACTGTGCCGCTAACTCTTCCAGAGCTTCATCCCAGGCTGCCCTTCGCAGGTTCATCCATCCATCCAACCATCCATCTTCCATAACTGCTTATCCAGTTCGAGGCCTCGGGGACCTGGAACCTTTCCATGGAACCACAGGGCTCATGGCCGGGGACAGCCTGGATGGGATGACAGTCCATCAAGGGGCTATGCTCGCCTGGATGCATACATGGGCAATTTATAAATGCCGGTTAATCTATCTGCATGTTTTCCAGACTGCAGGAAGGAAATCAGAGTACCTGGAAGAAATCTTGCAATAAAAATACATAGCGTCATCTTAAAAAAAAATGCAGTAAAAATATATAGCGCCATACTGACCCTGGGTGCACTGGGATGCTGGGGCATTTAACGCAAGTGTGGACGGCATGTTAGTGTGATGGTATTGCCCTGTAGGGCTACAACCAGGGAGTCGTTCCAATAGAGCACCCCCAGGTGGCTGCCATGTACAGACCCCAGGGAGTACTGAGTCATGTGACCTCCCATACGGCAGAGCGACACCTGTAGGAACCTAATCCAGTGTGCTAACTGGTTTGCCTGGGTATCGAAGGTTGCAATCTTGCAGCAGACGGCTTGCATGTCAGTTTTCTTCGCTAAGTGCTGAATAACAGTCTTCTAGGCACAAGACCGCAAATTCTGGAATTCTCACTGGGACGCTGCTGCCCCATGACAATTCTAAGGAGTCCACGTACTTCCCAATACCAACAATAACTATCGTTAACAGGCTAATGACAGCTAGCCCTTCGCATAAGGGGCAAACTGTTTTCGTCAACAGGCCGATATGAATGACTCAGATTTTCTCCCTGATTCTGGGTGCCTGGTTTTCCCTCCATAACCACACGAAGAGGACAAATTTCTGCAGGGGACACTGAAGCAAAATGAAGCAGGAATACTGTCACGGAGTCGCCGCAATTGTCCGCCTTCTTTCTCACAGGCGAAGCAGCCCTGCAGGGGACTGCTAACGTGTTGCCAAAACCATTGAATCCGACCTGAATACATTATAGAGCCTCCCTTTAAAACAGAGCCAAGGACTTTGCTTCTCGTAATATGTGAAATAATAGCGCCGAATGTTTTCCATTTGCGAAAGGCATCAGTGACCAGGCGAGCCGCGGCGAAAGGGCTAATTTATGATCGACCAAAATGCTGTGAAAATGGGTCCGGCTCGCATTCACCACCACAGCTTTTGCGAAAACACGTAAACAGCGTCAATTAAGCAGCCTTATGGCAAAATATTAATTGATTAATGTTAGGTGAAAGGTCTTAACTTTGTTGGCCGCTTGAGATGTGGATGGTTGTTTATTTATTTTTGTAGCGTGCCGGCGTTGCTTTGGAAACGTGGTGTACTGCGAGGTGGCGTGGAATTCTGGGGAGGAGTATATTGTTTGCGGCATTAAGTTCCTGGAATGGGAACAGAAAATACTCACAGCCAGTGACTGTCAGTTGTAATAGTGATAAATAAAAGTCCATAAAAGTTTTGTAAAGGACTGATGGAAAAAAACTTCCCTTGCAAGTTTTTTTTGTCTTTTTAGGCAAATAAAATGTCCTGTGGTGGACTGGCCTCCCATCCAGGGTGTCCCCCCCCGCCTTGAGCTCTGAGCTGCCTGGCATAAGCTCTGACTGACCCTTGTACTGCATAAGCAGTTAAAAGATGGATGGAAATAAACTGTAAATACCCATTTCAAGGGCTGCCGTAATCGGCCACTTAATGTGGCGCTGAGGAGATCAAGGTGTCTGCCTGGCCCCGTGAACGTGTCAGCCGTTTGTTAAAAGCGGAAAAGAGAATTCAGAGCCTCCGTGTTCCAAAGGAGACGACGGCCCTGGGGGAGCTGAGGATTGTCACCCCGTTAATCAAAGCTGAGATCAGTGCATGTGTGCGACTTAACATCTTCAGTCTGCTGTTTAAGAGGAGCCGGCTTTGGTCCGAGGGCTTTGCTGTGCTGAGTTGTTAAAAGTTCTGTCTATTGGATTTATAGCCACATGGCACCAGTGACTTAATACTTAGTGCCGTGAGATTGTTTAAACAACACATGTGGATTGGCTCAATTATATCATCCACTCAAGTTCATATTTATTGACTTCCTTTAAAATGAAAACAAATCAAACCTTTAATTGCTAATTGATATTAACAAGAAACTTCTATTCCTGGCGCTTATTAGTTTGCAACTAATCCTTTTTTGTTTCATTTTTATTTCAGAATTGCAGAGTATTTTGGGATAAATATGGTTGTAAGCTTAAAAATACAGACACATTAATAAATATGCACATAATATTAGGTATCAAGCTATGGTATGAAACCAAAAATAAGCCCAATTCTGTGGTCAAATTCACATGGAATACATGGCATGACACCTATTAGATGTTATAAGTAGATGTTATATGTACTTATAAGATGTTCGGTGCTATAAGTCAAGTAGATCTTGGATCAGTTTGTTGTGATTTCAATTTAGATTAATATGTGCCGGTCCACAGAGTCTGCAATTAAGGTAGGAGTCCAAATCTGGGAATGTAGAATTAATGCTTCGGTTACAGCTGAAAACTAGGAATTGGACCAAGTTGGTCTGAACACCAGCTGGGGAGCTGCTGAACATCCAGTGAAGGGCTGGCAACTGGGCCACTTCAGTATGTTTCAGGAGAATAAGAGGCTCTATGGGAGTGATGGTTTTAATCACGCCATTGGTTACTGGGGGATGTGAAAGACCAGTAAACCCTTAAACCATGACTGACATTCATGTCCTCAAGTCACTTCTGAAAAAAGTGACCTATTTTCTATTTATTTTAGCGGATACTTTTATACAAAGCAAAATACATTTTCTGAGTCAGACTGAATTTTTTTTTTTGAGTCAGACAGTCCCTGAAGCAAATGGGGATTAATGGCCTTGCTCTTTATCAATTTTTTATTTCAATATTTTTCATTCAAAAGAACATGGGAGCAATCAACACACAGAAAAGAAAAGGGGAAAAAAACTATGAACGATACAAACAGTCACCCCCCCCCATTTGCTCTTGACCCTGGGATTTGACCCAGTAACCTTCTGATCACAGATGTCCTGACCCACTGAGCCACACACCATGGAACTTGCAGTGCGGATCTGAATTTTTGTGATTCGGTTGGTGTCTGTCGATGCTGCCAAGTCCATGCCTTCCCCGCCACCCCCCAGAATACGAAAATACGAGTCTGCAGGACATCGGCACAAGAAAGAAAAACTACAGAATGAGATGAAATGGAAAAACAAGCCCAGACAACGTCAGTGTCTCACCACTAATTAGGGGTTTAATTGTAGCTGAGCCATACCGTAAACAAAGACTAGCTTTGTATCACTCCAACTTCCTTATTCCTGCCCAGTTCAAGAGCCCAGTTAACCAGTAATTCTCTTGCTTGTTGGTAATTGAAATACATACAATTACATGCAAGCGTGCGCGTGTATATCCGCGTGTCAGGGTTAGAATAGGGTTGAACAGACCTTGAGGACTGTTGATTTATTATTAAGTGCCGAAGTGTTCGACTGTAAACACAGAGGTAACGCGGTGTAAAATTGTATGCCCCTCCAGGGAGAAAATTAAAATAATAATAATAAAAAAGCATTTCTTGTTTTATTTATTTTTCAGCATTTTCAATGAAGTGGATAAAGAGGTTAATGGCTTTCAAATTAACTCTCTTTCCCAGGACATCTTCCTACAGTTAAATCTCAGCA